GGCATCAGTTCCACCCCTGGAACCAAGCTACCATCAGCATGGCCACTATAGTCCTAACGGCGTTGGGCACCAACTGGCTGAGAGTAATCCCATATGCCCCCAACAATTCAGAAATCAGCGGATGAAGGGGAAACCGAAGACCGAACTGGAGAAAATGTTGGTCGATGCAGATATCCCCCTCCTTAAGAGTCCACGACCGTTCGATGCAGATCCCCCTCCTTGCCTGAACTTTGACCTGGTCCCCTTCCAGAGAATTTTCAAAACCCAGGCAGAGGACATCGGTCTCAGCTACTGCCTGGGCAGCCCTTGTCCCGTGAACATGGTCTTGGGTTTCCTCCCCCTCGGCTAGGTAGGACCCCTGGGGCTCCCTCGGTGTCACGGAGGCGGCACTCTCATGGGGAGGGTCCTTGCCTCGACGGCTGCCTTCGGCACCCTTAGAGGCTACCCTCCCCCGAAGCACCTCAACCTCTTGCCGAAGGGGGGCAAGCGTAGGACTCAAAGGAGAAAGGGGAGAAGGGGTACGGGAAGAACTCCCCTCCGACTCATTCGGAAGATCATGGCACTCAAGTCTAGAATCTGAGAAAGACATTGTTTAAAATTACTTAAGAAATGTGGAGGAAGAAAGAGTGAGAATGAAGTGTTGAAGGTTGGAGAGTCTAGAAGCTGAGTTCACTCGAAGGCAAAGGTGCTACTGCTAAGGGCCCTATTTAAAGAAGAACGAACGGCCCAGATTTCTTGAGATCCAACGGCTGAGAAGCCACCGCCTCCAAAACCCAATCATGGCGCACCGCATGACGCTCAGCCCCGGAAGGTGAAACAACGTGCTGATAACGACTCAGATCATTTCAAATCTAACGGATGAGAAACACCTCTGCACCTGCGATACAGCCATGCCGCACCCCTGAGCGCTCACCCTCAGAAGACGAAACGATGCTCAAGACGGACCAGCACGTCCGCCCAAAGCGACCCATTGGTCTGGGCAACCCGTTCCTGTGAGCATGCACATCGGTTCAACCGGAAAGCCATCCCACACACGGATCCTCGAGCCTAAACAATCTTTGGCTTCACAGCTCCTCGGCCTAAACAGCCTTTGACCCCCTAGGTCCTTGACCCAAATGACGGCACTAGACCATCCGCACTGAGCGCGCTTCCCTTGTCACTTGTCCAAAGCAGCAATGCCATAGACCACTCGTATCCTTGGCCCAACTTACAAAGACGAACCAGGCAGAAAAGCGAAAGAGGATGCCACTACAGGGTACACCTCGGCTATTGGGCCCACTGGCACTCACCATTACTACTCCCATCAGTCGAAGCCGAATTTTTCTCCTCGGCCTCGGGAGTAGGGGGCAAGTGGTGTGGGGTGACCCAACCCAACCCATTCAAAGCTGGGAGGCCCAATCCACAAGCGCTAGATGTAGGAACGAGATTCGCCACAGCAATGGTTGCCCTACTCCCCAGGCCAATTGTAGAGCACTCACATGATCCTGCCAAGCCCGTTGTACGCTTCTGTATGGCTCCCATCCCAGACATCCATCTCCACCTACCTCCAGGCAGCCCAAGTATAAATAGGGGTGCCCCCCTCCAGGTAAGGGGAGGAATCTGATACAATCTACAATCTGAATATAGAATTGGGCTCACAAACTATATTCTGGTTCCCCTCTTCGTACCCTGTACTAACTTGACCGTGGAAGACTTTGTCTCGGGTTCTCATCCGAGGCCTCTGATGTATTCTGTCTTGCAGTACCTCAGCCACCTACCTTCGACTTCTACAATACTCGGAGCCTCCTCCACCTCAGCCTATATACCTCAACCTCAACAACAACCTCTCCAAGCCCTCAGAGCCTTCGGCCCTCCTCCGGAATCTAGGGGCAAAATTATCTTGTTGACCTCGGCCAATCCGAGCACCAACTATTTTATACCCAGGCCAAGCAGTAATGGTCTAGCCTAATCATCGTCAAGGCTTACGGAGGCCTAACTATTTTATACGCATGATTAACATACAAGACGGGGTAGCCCACCCACTTGGTGCGCTGGCTGAATTGTTCTAACGGTAGTAGAGTTTCGAATCCCTCTATTATTAAACAAGAAGAAAAGAGCTGTTGATTTGATGTTGTACTATTCACAGGTGTTAGGTGTTAGACAATAATTAATATATATAAAAGGAGAATGCGCTAATTACCAAAAGGTATGCAACCAATAGACTAGCTAATGACGTTGACAAAATAAAAGGTTAATATATGACATAAGGAGTCCATTTCCTTGCACAAGACTTTACGTGTATGCTTAGCTTGCAATGGAGTGTTGAGTGTGGCAAGAGTACAATCAAGAGCGTTCTTATAATTTAATAACATCAATATAGAAGATGAGAGGAGGCTTCAAAATCTCTCTCTTCTTCTTTTTTCCCGTTGTCTTCTTGTCTTAACTAGAGCTGTCATTGAATTCTAAAAATCCAAAATCCAATCCAATTATCTCGGGTTTGGGTGATATATTACATAATCGGATAGGATTTGTTTTGATGTATATGATTCAATTAAAATCTAAATCTGATTATAGTATAATACATAATGATATATAAAATGCATGGTTTTTAAAACTGACCTAGAGACCAAATCGGTCAGGGGTCTGGTTATCGGGTCAAACGGTCCGATCGTTTAATCGAACAATCAGCCTGTTTTGATAAAAAATAAAAAAATTAAAAAAATTAAAAACAGTCGAAACTGTTTGAACAATTAACCGCCCGGATAAGTGATTTGCTGACCAAAATCAACAGTTTTTGAAGAAAATCCAGTTTTAGGGAAAACCAAAACTGATCACCTGACCAATTCCCGGTTTTTCTGGTCCGACCGTCTGRTCCGGTCTAGTTTTGAAAACCATGATAAAATGTATACAATTATATATAAATATAAGTATATAAGATCTTATATAGTATAAAAAAAATCTGTGACGCTGGAAAGATATGGCATCGGAAGAACTTAGGCCAATCAAAGCACCCTATGAACTTTATCAACTTTGATGAATACCACCTAATTGTTCACCTCTTTTATGGTACAGGTTAATTGACTAAGCTTTCTCGTATCATGTCTTCCTAGTGTCATAGTTAAACCCTTTATAATTTTAATATTTTATATAAAATAAACTTAATATTTTATATTTATATTAATTTATAATATAAGGTAAAAAGTAATTAGCTTCTTAAAAATTGAGCAGATTTCTAGTTAATTTGAATTTCAATTTTCATTTCGGATCAAAGTCAAATGTTCCTGAATACGATAAGAATCTCTCATCCTTTCACAGCCTTAGTTTCAACTGCACATATTTGATTTAAAATCACATCCACTTAAATAGACTTGGAAGCTGAAATTAAGAATGTGTAGCTGACCATACACAGGAGATTAGGCTCTTCAAGAGTTGAACCGAACTTCTGCAGCCCTTCGTGTTTCTTCCCCCTACTTTCCCTTTTCCTTTTAAGATTCCCATTCTTGTAGTACTCTTTCTTTCTCTATTTAGAAACTCCCCTTTGAAAGAAAAAAAAATGGCTACAAGTGGCTAATATCTTAAACAATATTTTCAATATACACCCAAAATATTCCGATTATTGCAGAGTTGTATTTATAGAAATCTCACTTTGTTGGAAGTATGAGAACTGGGGATGGATAAATTTTAATACAGCCTGACCTGGCCTTGTTAATCCAAGGTTTTAAAAACCGATAGGGAAACAGAACTGCTGTGGTCACTGATTTCCGGGTCAACGGTTCAACTGTCTGGGTCAAACAGTCCAGGCGGTTTGAATATATTAGTGCAACTATTGTTACTCAGTCTTTTATGAGTGGTTGTCAGCTGAGAAAGAAATAGAGAGAAAAAAAAAGGAAAAAGAAATGGAGATAAAAGAGAGAAAAAAAAAGGAAAAAGAAATGGAGATAAAAGAGAGAAAAAAAAAGGAAAGGAGAGAAAAGAAAGAAAAGAAAGGAAGGAGGGAAGGAGGAAGATGAAGAGCCGATGCTAAACAGTGACGACAGTGGTGGTAAAAGAAACACAAATCTCAGATCCGAGATCTAATTTCTCTCCTATCTGAAATCTCTCTCACTCTCGCTCCGATCTACAATATTGTTTTCGTCTCAGTCCTTCCCATCTCTCAATCTCCTCTACTGCTCTGCATCATTACTAAACCGCGAACCACTGTTTGGGTCGAACGGGTTGATAATTCAACTGCCCGGGTTAGAGGTTTTTTGACCAAATCAATGGGTTTTAGCCCAAGAATGGGTTATGGGTGAAACTGAACCGGTTGCCTGGATGGTTTCTAGGACAAACGGTCTGAACATCCAGGTCAATGACAGTTTGAAAACAGTGTTAGTCTTTTTCACAGGTTGGGTCTGGCATGTTGGACTTTAGGCTGGGTCGAAGTCTCATCTCTCTCTCTCTCTGATAAAGTGATAAGTAGCACTAGTTCTCTTGGGTTAAGGTTTTAGACTTTTAGTTAGCCAGAGCCACTTGTTATATGGGCCTGTCCAACTAGCAAAGCGGGAAAAGTGGCCAGCCTCTTAATCTAGAGGTTCATTGGACAATCGATATCAAAATTAACTCCAAATAGAAAACTCAAGTAATAAGAATTTGATGGACAATGGATATAATTTGTAAAYGCGCTCATATGCAGAGGGTGTGTATCAGGATTCTGACCGGTTCAGGGAGTAGAGGAGCCTTAAACCGGCTCCCCTGAACCAGTTTTGAAAAAATTAAAAAAAAAGTAAAAAAAATATCGATATYGCCCAATATGCCCGTGTCGATATTTTGAACTTTGAAGTAGAGAACAGAATATAGTTATTATCAAAGTTAATTATAACTTGTTATATTATTTTATATAATATTAATAGGCCATTTAACAATTTTATATACATGAGACTTCATAGTAGGTTTAAAGGATAATAAAATAAGAATTTCTCCACATTCCATCTAGCCCCTAGCAAAGCTCCAGAGAAAATGGAAAATAAATGGACGGTTGCTCCTAGATATCAAGATCTAGCAATTCATTTACTTGACTATGAAAATGGATCACAACAGTAGCCATACATGGAAATTTTCATAACGAAATCAGTGGGTAGATGAATGAACTTACAATTTCAGGCAACAAATAAACATTGTAAATTGTGCTGATATACAAAAGCGTGGTTAATAACCTTCCACAGTGCTACAGAACCCCTAATACATAGCATTATATATGCTATGCAAGTGGAAACTTGAGTGATCAATCATAAAATTACAACACCAATGCACACCATGTCCATAGTGGAAAACTAGAGGCAAGGTTGAAAGTGTCGATACAATGTGCCCAATATGGGGTGTATTGTATTGGTTTTCAGCATCAATGATCCACTATTTTAGGAGAGCTACAACATTCAGCCCTTTTATATGTTAATAGGTGATGTGGTAAGACCCCTGTCAAAAGATAATACCAAAAGGATAAAAAAAGAGTTTCAGTCAATAATAACTCTCAATGCGTAAAACTTGTGTATCGAGAGTATTGATACTTTGAACCATGATTAAAGGAGGAAATTATCTATCATGTGAAAAACCACATCCGCACCATCTGAATTTAACCAATAACTCTTCACCTGCATTTATTTGGAAAGCATAATATTAAGAAGAGGAAAAAGAATCTCTAGGGAAACACAATGAGCAATGTATTGTGCTTGTACAAGAATCATTTATCCGCAATGTAATGTGGTAAAAAGAATGATAAAAGCAAAAATGGAGAACATGTGCAAGAGCCTCATAAGAAGGGTGGACGGTAAGAAAAAGCTAATACGGCTCAATGGATACCCTTTTTGCTCCTTTTGAATAATCAGGTTTTGATAGTCCATTTATAATATGGATTTTCACTTTCTTAAATGATTGATATATTAATTACCAAGTGATACATTGAGACTGTTATTACAAAAAATATACACACTCGGAAATAAAAAAGAGAAAGAAAAGGACCTTAGTGTTGTGAGAGAAATATTAATTTCTCAGGTGAGTAATTATAATTGGGAATCAGTGGGGAATTTCCATAATTACAGTTTCTGATGTTGCCATCTGTATGGCCTATTTACATCAACAGGGTCTTGCGAAGAAAACTATGATGTTGCCATCTGTATGGCCTATTTGCACTCAACAGGTTCTTTTCCCCGAGGAAATTTCACTAAGTACCATGTTTGGACTCTTCTCTAAAGTGGCCATCAGTCTATGGCCTCTTCTACTCCGGTTGTTTTAACATGATTTACAATTTTAGGAATAGAAATAATACACGAAGTAGACAAAAAACGCGTAACATGAAGGGGATAAGGAAATCATAGGATACATGATTAGATACATAGTAACTGGATAAGGAATAGAGGACCTACAGGTAGATGGCTAAATAYGCTTCTGTATCCTTTAAACAAGACAATTGAGAGATTTAGATCAACAGCAGCATCGGATAATGAATTATCAAACAAAGATCAAGTATTAGGGTTAGGATTACTTGAATCAAAAGAATTAGACTGTTGTTGAAGCTTAACTCCTTGGCATACCAGTGGGAACATTAGTGAACTATTTACTAGTACTTTCCCTTTGAGAGAGGCATGCACAGGATAAAAGGGCTAGGACTCAAAGAATGTAACATCTTTAGAAACCATAATGCTTACCAATCTGGAACAGACACCTCTGGTTCAAAAAATCCAAAAACTTTACCTTGGTCACTAACATCTTCCTTCACAGTGTCAGACTCCAGTCCTATAATGTTTGACAAGATTACTCTGCCAACCCCCAATATTTCCTTCTGCAACTCACTAAGGTCCTTAGTACTATTAACACTCGTTTCCTCTTCAGAATGATCCTAAGTACCCAACCCAGCATCACTATACTTTTTCAAAGCATTTGAAAGATTATTTAAGTCTCCATCATCCCCTTGCTTCATCATCCCCTTGTCCGAAATGAGTTGCACTCCTACTTGCTTCATCATCCCCTTCCTATTCTCTAATCCTTACCTCCTTGATCTTGAATGGTTGAACCCCATGGAAATGTAGACAGTTCTAGTTTTGCATTTTATTGTTATTTATTTTCTATTTAGTTCTGTTGTAATATGATAGTATGTATGTAGGATATCATGTTGTTTCTAGTTCTTGGTTTCTCCTCATAACAAGGGGAATTTATGTAATTGCACATATCCTTTTCCATATTAAATAAAATATGGCTCTTCGTTGGTGGGGGCATTCGCTTGATTATACCCTCTCTCTCTCTTCCTCTCAGTTTTGATATTAAATCCTAGCTTGCTAACATGGTATTAGAGACATGATTCAATTTGGTTAACACTTAGGGATGCTGCTATGCTTGTGAGAAGTGACAAGAAGCTGTTCATCATGCTCACAGTTTCCTGCAACTGCTGCAAATGTCAAGTCATGTGGAGACCATCAACTCCTTGTCATAAATTGGTTTGTTCATAAAGATTCAATAGGGTGTATTTTAAGAGGAATATTGCATATTTTTCCCAAACTTTGAAGCTAACCTTGGGATCCTATAATTTTTTATTTGTTCAGTCAAGAAACAAGAAAATCACAAGGTCAGTTCTGACCTCTTGCATATCTGTGTTTAGGGGGAGTTAGGGCAGGAAAATCTAGAATTCCTGCCATTTTTTTTAAGTTTTCAGTCTACTCTTGAGCCTGCTTTGTTCTTTGGCTTTGGGGGTCTATTAGACCTCATGTTAAGGCATATTTGACACCACAAAATAAGAATATAACAAGGGCAGTTTTGATGTCCCTTAAATAGCTTGGTGTTTGTATGTTGTAACAACCTGAAAAGCAAAAGAAAAGAAGAGAAAGAAAAAAGAAAGACGAGGGAAAAGAAGAAACAATAGAAAGATGAAAAGCACGAAAGAAGGGAGAACCACCAAGACATTCGAGTCCACTCTCTTCACAGTTGACCCAGGATTAGTTCCTACTCACTGACATACAAAATTACCACTATATCCCTAATTACATAACCATAGAAGAGAAAATTTAACAAGAGAAAGACAAATCTGCCCCTTCCGACTAACTTTAACACTCCCCCTCAAGTTGTGAAGATATCAACTACTTGGTCTTCTAACTTGATATAAGGTGTGACAATATCCTCACTTGTCACTTTCTCTCTCACAAAATGGCAGCCAACTCCAATATGTTTAGTTCTTTCATGAAACACCATGTTGTAGGCAATATGTGCAACAGATTGATTTCACAAAACAATCTAATGGGCTGATCAATGGAATGTGCACTTCCAAAGGAAATGTTTCAACCAAATCAACTCAAACGTAGCATGAGCAATTTTCCTATATTCAGCTTCAACATACTCCTAGCAACCACATTTTGCTTCTTGTTCTTCCAAGTAACAAGGTTTTCAAACTAAAAGGTACAATAACCTGTAGTAGAGTTTTTGTCCATTAGAGACCCTGTCCAATCTGCATCTGAATACCCCTCTAGGGATAAGTCTCCCTCTTTCTTATACAATGGTCCATGGCCTAAAGCACCCTTTAAATACTTCAACAGTCTCATAACACAATCTCAATGAACAATGTTGTAGGGTTCTGCCTAAACTCGTTGAGCACTCCAACACTGAAGGTGATGTCAGGCCTAGTGATAGTGAGGTAGATCATCTGTCCTACTAGTCTCCTATACCTTGTAGGATCTTCCAATGGCTCCCCATGAAGTCATCTTCACATTGGAATCCATAGCAGTCTCCACTGGCTTGGATCCCAACAACCTGGTTTTCTCTAACTATAAAGAGATTGGGCTGAATGGGCCTTAGGTTCATTTATTTTTAGTAGCATTACTTTTGTTTTATTTATGCTGTAATGGGCCTTCTTTATGGGCCTTAATAATTATTCCTTTTATGTGTTTTAAGTCAGCCACGCAACTAAGGGCACTTATGTAACTTCACAATGTTTTATTATTCTTCCATTCCCTAGTAAAGTCGAATCTATGTTTGAACTTGTGATTGATCATGTAAAAACACAAAAAATGCATTAGATCCAAGGAAGTCTAAAAGTACTGCTTCAAATATTCTTAAAAAAACTCTCTTTCCGGAGACTCCCAAATAGATAGAAAATATGTAAGATTATGTCTTGACCATATGGAAGTCAATTATGCTTAGCAAATGGATACAGTAACCCGAAAGTAGACATAGAGTGAGACAGTCAAAAGCAGTTACCTGAATTGTATTATGTGCAATATATCTTTGTCTACTTTTCTGAAAACTAACATCAATGCGCTCCCAAGGTACTTGAGTGAGACCTCTAATCATCTCCTCTAGAATATGGAAAAATGTAGAAGTACATAAGAATAAACACAGATGTATACATGGAAAAACTAATAACTTTCTTTTTTTTTTTTGTAAAATTGATAGATCAAACAAACTGGAGTATTATCTGATTTTAATGGCAACAGGAACCAAGTTTGACGATAACTTGATAACCTATTTCTCTCACTGCCTTTATTTTGTTTTTTTTTATGGATCTTTCACTGGTGTCCATATTAAAAATTAGAGCAAAATAATAACTGAAACCAGATAGACTAACTATAAAGGCACAAATTATATATATTTTTTTGATAAGAATAAAGACACAAATTGTATAAAAAAATTGAACACCTCAAAAACATGCAGAGAAATGAAAGAAATTGCATCTATAAGCAGTATACTATCAATCATGAAGATCAGCAAATATTATTACAAACAGAAAGTTTTATCCTTGAAAAAAAATATGAAATCTATTGCTACATAAGAAAGATAAAATGGTTCGCAAATATCTATCTTATCCATTGTCCCATGTTGGTGTTAAAGAATGATCATTTGTTTGTAATTTTTCCCTTTCTGAAACACTTTTTAACTTCACTTACAAAACTTGGGAATGAGTGAATCTTTAGTGTTTTTATTAAATGACTTAGAAGCTTTTATGAGAGAAAGAAACAATGAAGAATTTGTGAGAGAGGCAAAGAGTAGAGCACAAACATCTAATTAGCAATTATACTAATACATTAAAACTAGAAATTAACCCTCAATTAGTAATATGAAGAACAAAGACAACAATGACCTCAAAGTGGTGCCTCCCAACACTCAAATAGTATTCCAATTTGGACCAAGAGACACCTTAAGCAATGAATAAACTGATCATTTGACTTAAACAAACCCCACCACTAGCAACCCATTGACATATGAAGTATCGGTGTAACACAGTGCACGTAGTGTGTTCATGTCAAATTTGATTGTTGGAAATATTTATTGTTTCCTAATTGTTGCAAAACAACTTCCTAAGACCTTCCAAGGTGATACTCAATTCAGTTAAAAAGGTTCTCAGCCATAGCATCTTTAAGACGCTGGAGCCATAGCCCTATACTAAGCTTTGGCACTTGATTTAGCAACAACAAATTGATTCTTGCTTTTCCAAGAAACAGTATTGCCCCCTACAATAGAAATAGCAAGAGGTAGATATCCCATAATCAACTGAACTAATCCCATCTACATCAGTATAATCTTCCATCTTCAGGTGGCCATGATGTGTATACAGCAATCCTTTTCTTATTGCACAATATCTTGTAAACAGTATCCAAATGAGGAAGTCTAGGCTGGTGCATATACCAACTGACCACCCTAATAACATAAGAGAAATTTAGTCCAGTCAAGCAAAAGCGTGGAAGTTCATGAACCGATCTTTGATACAACCACCTGCTCTCCATGAAGTCACCATAACTCTGAGAAATCTTATGCTTAGGATATATAGGCGTGTTATCTAGCTTAGCTCCAAGCTTTCCTGTCTCCGAAAAATAAAGGATATCCTTCCTCTAAGAAACAAAGATGCCCTTTCTTGACCTTCAAAGCTCTATTTCTAAGAAATACTTCAGATGTCTTAGGTCTTTGATTTCAAATATAGTAGCCAGAAACCACTTCAACTTAAGAGATTTCCAGATGCTGTCCCCAATGCCAACCATATCATCAACATAAACAATCAAAATAGTCATTAGGCTAGCATTCCTCTTTATGGAAAATGCATGATTTGTATGTGATTAGGTGAACCCCATCTCCTAAATAGTTCATTGAAATCCCTCAAACCAAACTCTTAGAAACTGTTTCAAACCATAGATTGATTTTCTTAGCTTGCACACTTTGTCTTCGCTTCTGTGAGCTTACTTAAAAAACAGTTAGAAGATTGGGAAAAATAAAGGAAGGATGACTATACTTCAAAAGATGGTAAAAATGCAATTCTCTCATTAAGTTACCTCACAAGATGGAATACAAAATAGGAGAATAAAAGACCAATCTGCCCTTGCTGAATAGACTTTAACACTCCCCCTCAAGCTGGAGCATAGATATCAGACAAACCCAGCTTGTTATAAATATAATCCATCCTAGTGCAGCCCAATCTTTTGGTGAGAAAATCAACAAGTTGGTCTTCTGATTTGACATTTGACGTAACAGTATGACCACTTCTATGTGTTTACTCCTCTCATTAAATACTAGGATAGATACAATATGGGTTGCTGTTTGATTGTCACAAAATAGTTTAATAGGCCTGTGAATTGAGTGTTCAACTCCTGAAGGAGATTATTCAACCAAATCAATTCACAAGTGGTATGCTCCATTAACCTCTACTCATCCTTATCCTTAACACAACTTCTAGCAACCACGCTCTACTTCTTGCTCTCCAACTGACAAGATTTCCACATAGGAAAGTACAATAACCTGTAGTAGATTTCCTATCCATCGAGTATCCTGCCCAATTTGCATCTAGAGGCAGTTCTTCCCCCCTTCTTGTACAATAAGCAGTGGTATCTCAACATTCTCACAACACCTTTCCAAATGGAAGAGCGTGGGCTTACAAAAGGCCACAGTAACTCGAATACAGAAATGGAGTAATAGCGAATTTTCAAATTGGTAAAACAGTCATGCGAATTCGGAAGTAAAGGGCATGCAAATTCAGAAACAACACTTAGGTCAATAAAGGTTTTGTTCTCAGTGTTGTAACGAGTGACTGTTTGTGGGCCTTTTATTCTTTATATTTTAGATTTATTTCTGTAGTTGTCTTGTAGTTAGCCACTTAACATAAATACTGTTTTAGGGCTGGATGAGAACATACTTGCCACCCATTCATTCTCTTTTCTCCTCTCTGTTTTCTGTTTCTTTTGCTCTAAACTCTGTTGCAGGTTTGCAAGCATGGTATCAGAGCACTAATGATCTAACTTCTACAAGTTCAAATCTACTTCTTCTTCTCCTCTTTCTTCTATCTTCTTCTTTTGTTTTCTTCTAATCATTGTGCACAAGGAGGTCTATATCTAGGGCTTCTATTTGGGAGTAGGGACCAAAGAGGAATTTCTCAGCCCAGTTTATGCCCTATTAGATGGTGGCGACAGCCAGTAGCCATTCAGCTACTAGAGAGATCTGTTTAGAACAGATCTAGAAGGACTGAGTAGACAGTCCTAGATTAGTTCTGGCAAGTTGCTGGTGAAGCCAATTGCTGTAGAAGTGTTTCTTCAAGTTTCCAGGAGGTACAGGTGGTCTGAGAAGAGTGTTGCAGCTGTGTTCTTGTCCCTAGGAGTGTTCTCTCTTGCTTTGGGCTTGTGTTTCAGCAATGTCCAAATTGAATCTGGTATAACAGCAGCGGTTGGTGTCTTGATGAGTTCATAGAAGGGAAAAATGTCATCAGTTTTAGGAAAAGTGTCTTCTTAGGACAAGAAACCTGTTGGAAAGTCTTCAAATCTTGATAATCCCAATCTGCACAAGTTACAGATAACCAGTGTACTACTAGATGAGTACAATTTGAAAGAATGGTCAGTCTCAGCCAAGTTGTTTATCACTTCCCAGGATCTAATGAGGTATATTAACGGGAAAAAGAAGAAACCTAAATGTGACTGTTATGTCTTGCCTCCCTAGTTCCATGACTCCAAGAGTAGCAAAGACTGTCCAGCACTTCCCTACCGCCTTCAATATTTGGTAGGTGTCTAAGGCTTACAGACAACAGAAGAACAATGCTATAATCTACAGATTAACACAAGATATTGTTGCCCTAAAGCAAGGAGACATGTCTGTAGCCACATACTTTGCTACAAAATCCTATTTTAATAATTTCAGGATTCAGCCTTTTTTTTTCTCGACAGTACTCAAAAAATAATAATAATAAAAGGAAAGAGAGATCATTTGTTTTTAATTAAACATTTAATAGCATACCTAAGATTTGAAAAAGACAAATCTATTGAAAGTGGAGAGAAGGGAACACACTTGGAAGTAGCAGCTCTTTGGAAAGCAGCAACTCTTTGAAAAGTAGTAGCTCCCTTTTCGTTTTGAGCCTCCACGTGAATGGAACTGAGAGTCTCTTTTGATTTTTAGGTGGAGAGAAATCGGGAATACAAATCTGTTGAAGGTGCAGCAGCTCTTTGAGAAGTAGTAGCTCCCTTTCTTTTTGGAGCCTACACGTGAAAGAGACTGACTCAATAAGGCTGAGTCTCTTTTTTTCTTCCTCTTTTGGCTGGAGTAATGATAAGCTAGAGAAGTTAGAAACGTGTTAGGCCTCTTTAGCTCCTATACTTATCTAAACAAAAGTTAGGACTTTTGTTTACGTAACTAATGGACAGCTGGCTGTCTTTTACATTGTTGGGCCTTTCTTTTAAGCCCATAAAGACAAGTGTGAAGAAGTATGGGACCACACTTTAAATAATGGTCCATACTTAATTATTTAAAAGCTTTTAAGGCCCATTAACATATTACTAGGGCCCATTTACCTTAAAAGCTTGTAGGCCCTGTGAGCTTAGGAGCTGTATTCGAAGTAGTAGAGAAGAGAAGAAGACTTCTGAAATGCTGTGAATGTCGAACTGAATAGCTCAGTCAACAATACTGTTATTTATATTAGAATTTAGTACAATGATACAAGGAATTACTGGAATGCCCCTGATTAGTGATGGGACACCCAGACAACTTAAAAACATTAAACAGGCTTAGGCCCATTAACACAGGCCCAGTACAGGATAACTTAAACTTAAGTATAGGCTAATAAGAACTCTTATCAGCCAAACACTCATACATAGAGAGACTTCAATCCAACACTCCCCCTCAAGCTAAGCACGGATATCAATCATGTTTAGCTTGCCAAGTATGTCCCTAAACTTTGCTGCTGCCAACCCTTTAGTCAATACATCTGCAATTTGCATCTCAGATGGGGAGTATAAGGCACACAGAGTTCACCCGAGACAATTCTCTCTCTAACAAAGTGTCGATCAATCTCAATATGTTTTGTCCTGTCATGCTGCACGAGATTGTTGGC